GCCCTTAATCGTGTCTTCCGTGGCTTGTCACCGTAGTGTGCACACGCTCTGCTTTTTGTGCTTGTCCCGTGTGAAGTCTTTCCCGAGGTGCGGAGCCGTCTTCACACGTGCGACGGTTTGCCTTTGCCAGGGCTCCCTCCTCCACCTGCGTGCATGACGGACTGACGGACAGGGGTGTGGGGCGTGCGTGGCGGGCTGCTGCCACGCCCATTGTCTTTTTCTTCAACCGTTGCTCATTTGGTCAAGTATCAGGTGGTGTCTTGTTTTGGTGTGATTTCGTGGGTGGTGGAAACGCCCAGCCCTGGGTTCACCACTGTTCCCGTTTGCTGTTTCAGATCCGAAGGACATCGCCTGCTCCTCCTCCCTGGCGGCGGTAAGGACCCCCTCTCCTCTCCTTTTTTTTTTAAAGATTTTATTTATTTGAGAGAGAGCAAGAAAGAGCACATCAGCAGGGGGAGGGGCAGAGGGAGAAGCAGAGCAGGGAGCCCGATACGGGGCTCGATCCCAGGCCCCCGGGATCCTGACCTGAGCCGAAGGCAGCCGCTTAACGACGGAGCAACCCAGCCCCCGCCCGCCCCCCCCACTTGTGTCTCCTAGGACGGTGTGCCATCGGCCAGGTGTCTGATGACTGTCATCAGCCTGGTCCAGTCTGTGCAGTGTCAGTGGGTAACAGGTGTGTAGGTCCCGCCCTCAAAATAGTGGCAGTGCTAGATGCTAGAGAAGGGCCAGTCATCAGCACAGCAGCGGAAACCCGGACAAGGAGCGTGGTGCGTCCTGGGCACAGCCGTCCCCGCAGAGGCTGCCGTGAGGCCAGCCCTGCCCTGTCGTGGCCGCGAGGGTCTTGCTCCTGCCGTCCCACTTCCTCCTGTGTCGTTCTCCCCCCTCCCTTTGTTGCTCCCGCAGGTGGTGTCCCCACCTTGGACGAAGTCTCTGTGGCCTGGTTCCCCGCTTACCTTAGAGCAGCCCCACGAGTCCCCCCCCCGCCCACTCCGGCTGCATGGTTCCTCTCCTTCCCTCAGGCCTGCACCATCCCGTTGAAACAGCCCGGCCCGGTCCCAGCAGTAGCATCTGGCCGCATGTGCTCAGCCTCTGGCCCCACCCCACGGCCTGCTGCCAGCGTTTGACACGCGTTTTCCCTCCCCCGTGTGACGCTCTGTTTCTCGGGCTTCCCCGTCGTGCCCACGCAGAGCGCTTTGCTGGCCCCGCGCCTCTGCCGGACCCCCGATGCGCCGGCACCTGTCCGCGCCCTCCCCGCCGGAGATCCGCACAGGCCCTGGCGGTCCGCGCCTCCCTGTGCGCCAGTGTTGCGTCCCAGCAGGGCCTCCCACTGAGCTCTGCGGTCACACGTGCCGCTGCCCCCCCGCCATCCCTGCCGGGGGCTCTGGAGGGCTCAGACGTGCCACAGCTAGAGTCATCTCTCCACCCCATAAACTTGCTGGGCCCCACGTTCCCTGTCTCAGTCGGGGAACCCCTGTCCTCGCCATGGGCAGGCCAAATCCACAGGAGGCCTAGACACGCAGGATGTCCCCTCCACCACTGTGGCCCATGGCACCGGCGTCTCTCCTCTGAGGCTCCTCAAGCAATTCCCCTCTGCTCCTCCAAACCCATGCTTCACACTTCATGTGGGAAGATTTTCTAGAAGTAGGAGTCAGAGCAGGTCCCTAACTTGACTGACAGCCTCCCACGGATCCCTGTTTTCCGCAGCATAAATCCCGCTTACCTCTCACTGCCAGTCACTCAAGGTGGCAACCCCAGGGCAGGGTCTCCTCTTGCTCTCTGCCGGGGCCGCGGCTGCCATGTGCAAGGGCCCTGGGGCCAGAGTGTCCTGCTGCCGTCCATTTGGCAATACGTGGAGCTTTTGAGCACAATTAATTAGAAAAGAAGAGTTCCGGTACATTCTTAAGCAAAAATAAGCAAAAACTCAATTTTGAAAATCACTGCCTTCAGGAAGGCTAAAGGCCACATTAAAAAAAAAAACTATAGTTGATATTTTATAACTTTTTTTTAAAAAAGCCCTTTTCCTGCCATGAGCATGAATTTCAGTCTCAGAGTTTACAGGGATCAGTGTTTAGTTGTGCAGTGAATTAACCCTTAGAGCTGGCCCAGCAGCTCCACTCCGAGGTGCCCAGCCGAGGGAGGGGACACACGCGTGCCTGCGCACACACATCTTGCCTTCTGAACCATCTACTGACCTAGGAGGGGCCTCGGTTCCTCACTCGTCAGAGAACATTGCCCGATATTGTTTCTACAGGCCTTCCCTTTCAAGGTCGTTTGCAAATGTCAGAGCTTGAAGCAAAATGAAGTTTTGCCAGTCAGCAGCTTTTCATGTCCCCGTACCTCAGTCTTGGATCGTTCTTCCCGAAAGGATCTTCGGGAAGATCCCAAAAGCAGGGCCTTTTGTCTGGGGTCTAGAGCCCCCAGTTAGCCCTTTGTTTTATTTTATTTGTTTATTAGAGAGAGAGAGAGAGAGAGAGAGCGTGCGCGTGAGCAGGGGGAGGGCCAGAGGGAGAGGGAGGGAGAATCTCCAGCAGACTCCCCAGCACAGAGCCCAACACCGGACTCAACCCCACGCCCCCCAGATCCTGACCTGAGCCAAAATCAAGAGTTGGTCACTCGACCGACTGAGCCACCCAGGCCCGTCCGCCCTGTGTTTTATTTGAATCATGGGTCTTACTGGCGCCTGGGAGCTGTTTTGTGGGGCTCGCGCTGAGCGCCCTTGCCACCCTGCAGTTAGAGGTGGCGGCCGGCTGTCAGGTCGGTAATTGCTCACTGTACTTTCCTCTCCCCGAAGCTGAAGGGCTGTGAGAACGGCACACACAGATTCCGACTGCAGAAGCAGGTCTTCACGGACAACAAGAAGCCTCTGGTGAGTTGGACCAGCCTCTGCTGCTTGGCAGAGATCAGAGCCCAGGCTTGGTGACAAACTTGGGTCTCGTATTTCTTCCGTAAGACCCATGTGTGCCTTGTGCGATTTTTTTAGGTAGCAGGCCAGACTTACTTTAAGTTTGTAATCAGCCTGAAAGCGATGCACTCATTCCACGACTGTTGGCAGCATTCGGTGTCCCAGGCACGCTCTAGGTCAGGCAGCGCCCGGAGCCTCAGCCACAGTGTCTGCCCTGCTCCTGTGGACTCCCATTCTGGGGGGCAGGGTGGGGTACAGACGGGGAACCAGCAGTTTCCCATAGCAGCTAAATGCCAGGCACAGAGACCAGTGAGAGGGGTGAGCAGACACTGGTCCAGGTCCGGTCTTGGGAGCCGTCCCTACGCAGGGGGTGTAGATAGAGCTGTGAAGAGGGGGGTGGGTCTGCACACACCTGGGCCAGGGGGGTTCAGGGAATGCACAGGGAGGGCTGGGGATGGGAGGTGGGCCCAAGAGGCAACATAGAGAGTCATCTCCCAAGCATCCACCCTGCCACTCCCGTGTTCCAGATGAGGAAACTGAGGCAGAGTGCTCAGGGACCTGCCTGGTCGTCCTCAGAAGGGAGCCCTCGAGGCAGCGCAGTGGGCCACTTCCCTTTCAGGGTACTTCCGACCAGTCCTTCCTGGGGCTCTGCTTCACAGCACTGAGCCGTGGGGGCATCTCAGACTGGGTTTTACTCACCAATATTGTAAGTTCTTTTCTTTTTAAATCAAATACCTTAAAGGATAAATGTACCAAATGGGCTTCTTACTTTTTTTTTCTTTACTGCCTAAGGAAACTTATTTGTGGTGGTGGAAATAACGGGAAAGGGAAAAATGATGTCTCATACATCGTGGTTCTTGGAATTTAGGGAAATCCAACTGGAAAGCTCTAACCTCTCTACTCATTGCTGAGGGTGCATTTAAAAAGTTGGGTGTCTTAGTTTGGGCTGCTCCAACAAAATTACCATAGATTGTGTGGTTTAAACAACACATTTCCTTCTGGAGGCAGGAAGTCCCAGATCAAGGCACAGGTGGGTCTGGGGTCTGGCAAGGCCCACTTCCGGGCTTACAGCCCGCCGCTTGACAAACAAAGCACGGGAGGGATGCAAACTCTCGGGGCCTCTCCTTACAAGGCACAGACCCCATCCGGAGGGCTCCACCCACCACAGTAGGACTTGGGCTTCCACTCAGGAACTTTGGAGGAACACAAATAGTGGGTCCACAGCATCAGGTGTCAATCGATGTCCAAACGGCTGTAACTCCCGATTGTTACCGAAGAGTTACTTTTTCCTTTGAGGCAAGACCCTGGACCCTGTGTTGCGGCGCAGTACTGACCAGTCGAGCTGGCCCTGTCTTCTCGAGTGTCACTTCCCTCTTCCCTTTCCTGCTCCTTCTGCCAAAGTGTATTGACTAACATGTCATCGGAGAGGCCTTGGCAGGTCTTGTCTCTTCGGGCCTGGCCACACCACAGGCTGACCCTGACGTGCTCACGACCAAGCAGGTTTTGGTCCCTTGTCCCTTATGTGGCAGGAAGGGCTCAGGCACTGGAGGTGGCTCTCGGGTCACCGGGCTGGATGCCCCCCAAGCTCGGCCGGACATCCTGGTGTCCCCTTTCCCAGAATGACCCGGCTCAGATCCTCTGGGCTGGGAATTAAACGTCACCCAGCCCCCGCATCACCACCGTTTCTGTGCCAGGCAGGATGCTGAACAACTTCGTGAGGAAAGGCAAAAGGAAAGGGGCGGGTGAGGAAGCAAGGATGAGCGATGAGGAAGGGGCTCTGGCCTCACGGAGCCAGGAGGACCCTCTTCCCTACTTCGGATCTTTATGATGATTGGCTCGTGGATGGTCGACATTTGTCACCTTGTAGTCACGTGTCATTGCCCGTCCTTGGCTCCTCTGAGGATCTTTCTGATTGGCTGTGGCTCAGCAAACACTTCTTCCTGAGCACTGAGTGGGTGTTTTAATGCTAAAGGTGACTCCACGTGGCACACCAGTAGGAATCCACAGTTCCCTGGGGGCGACCTTCTGGCACAGTGTAGCTGCAGGCAGCGGAGGGCGTGGCGTGGGCTTATCACGTTTAGATTAGTGCATTATTACACGCTTCCCCTCCCCCCGCCGTGCGTGCGTCTGTGTCTGTTTTAATTGCATGGAACCCTGTTGCTCTCTGACTCCTAAGCCTAGGAGTGGGGTTCCCTGGCTGAAGAAGGCCCATCCCCCCACCGAGGGCTCCAGAGGTGCCATCAGACCCTGTAGGGCCCCTGGGATGCACAGCTTCCCATGTCCTGGTCGACCCAGGGGGTCTCTGGCTCTGTAAGGAGGCAGCTTTGCTCTCCTGGTTTGTTTTGGAAAACCCACTGTGACTTCCCACTTTCCCTCTGTGTCCTCCAGACACTGCAAAGGACTGGAATTTGGTAGCTGGGAGCCCCCGAGCTGTGCATAAAGATGAGTGGCTGTGGGCAGGGGGCCCTTTCCAACAAAGGCCAAGCTTAGATAAAGAGCTGAAGGGCTGGATCTGGGGCTTTCCACCAGCCCAGCGAGTGGCCCAGAAATGCTTTACAGACCCGGGAAGGGCCGGGTTGGTTTCCGTGTGCAATTCCTGCTCTAGGCTGGAGCCCCTCTTCTCTTACCTGAGCAGGATCTGTTCACTCTGTGTTTTCTCTTTATCTGGTTGCATGCCATCCCCTGGAGAGCCTGCTTTAGTGTTTACAAACACCTGTCCTAGACCCGAAACCATAGAAATCCTAGAGGAGAGCACAGATAGTAATGTCTCTGATATCAGCCCTAACAACATCTTTCTAGATATGTCTCCTGAGGCAAGGGAAATAAAACCAAAAATTAACTGTTGGGACCTCTCAAAATAAAAAGCTTCTGCACAGTGAAGGAAACACCAAAACTAAAAGGCAGCCTACGGAATGGGAGAAGATATTTGCAATTGACATATCTGATAAAGGGTTAGAATTCAAAATCTGTGAAGAACTTGTAAAGCTCAACACCAAACAACAACAATACAATTTAAAAATAGGCAGAAGACATGAACAGACATTTCTCCAAAGAAGACATCCAGATGGCCAACAGACACGTGCAAAGGTGCTCAACATCACTCATCGTCAGGGAAATGCAAATCAAAACCACAATCAGATATCACCTCACACCAGTCAGAATGGCTAAAATTAACAACACAGGAAACGACAGATGTTGGCGAGGATGCAGAGAAAGGGGAACCCTCCTACACTGTTGGTGGGAATGCAAGCTGGTGCAGCCACTCTGGAAAACAGTATGGAGGGTCCTCAAAAAGTTAAGAATTGAACTACACTATGATCCAGAAATCACACTGCGAGGTATTTACCCAAAATATACAAAAACACTAATTCAAAGGATACATGCATTCCTATGTTTATTGCAGCATTATTTACAGTAGCCAAGATATAGAAGCAGCCCAAGTATCCATTGATAGATGAATGGATAAAGGAGAAGTGAAGGTGTGTGTGTGTGGGGGGATATTACTCAGCCATAAAAAAGAATGAAATTTTGCTGTTTGCAGCAACATGGATGGAGCTAGAGGGTATTATGCTAAGCGAAATAGAGAAAGACAAATACCATATGATCTCGCTCATGTGGAATTAAAAGAGCAAAGGGGAAAAAGAGAGAGACAAACCAAGGAACAGATACTGATGGTCACCAGAGGGGAGGTAGGCAGGGTGATGGGGGAAATAGGCAATGGGGATTCAGGAGGAGTGCACCTGTTGTGATGAGCACCGGGTGTTGTATGTAATGTGATGAATCACCATATCGTACACCCTAAACTGTATGTTAACTATACGGGAATTAAGATAAAAAAAATCAAATATCTTATTAAAGTAGTATAGTAACTATGTATATTGATAGCTACACATAGGTGTCAATTCATTTGAAAGTAATGAATCTGAAAGTATTTATTTTTTCCTATAATCGGTCTGAAAGTCTATTTTTTCCTATAGTTCATACATTTCCTAGTTTAGACTCTTCATTCCATTCATTTGCAAGTTTGTTATAATACATCTTTTATTCAATGAAGCAATTTAATAAGATATATAGAATTTCATGGGTTTGGTGACAGTATTCATGAAATTGATGAAACCACATATTGTTGAATGATTTCTGTTATATCATAATTCTTACCTTAAAATTCTTAAAAACTAAACAGAACCTGTCCTGCAGTTTTCAGCCTTGACTGCACACCAGACTCTCCCGGGGCCTGTCCCCCAAGATTGCTGTGGCTGGTCCAGGGTGCAGCCCGAGTACCGGGCTCCCTCACAGCCCCGGAGATTGCGGTGTTTACCTGTGATTGACAACTATCGATTTGGTCTCCTGAACGGGACCACTAGCGGCGTCATTCAAGAGAGAAAAATTCTTTACTGCAGACTCAGACCCTAGTTCTCTGTTTCTGTATGCTGTTATGGAATTGTCATTAGGAAGATGTGCGGTTTCACTGGGGATTTGTCATCCTCACTCAGAAACGTCAGATTATATGCTGAAGTGTGAGTAGGCCCATCACCAGACCACATCGTTGTTGGACGTCAGCTTCTCAGTGATGGGAACCTTGGGTCGCCCCAGGGGCCGGCTGCTGGAGCCTTCCTTCCAGGATGCCAATTTCTGTTCTTCCCTGGAAAAGAATTCTAAATATCGAGAGAGGAATATGGCAACACATTATTCGTTTCTTTTTTCCTCATTTAACTGCACTTTGAAACTTGCAAAGGTTGTAGTGAGATAAACACAATAAAACTGTGATGCACAGAAACATTTCTTTGTAAGTTTTGGACCTTCATGGTTCACTCATGAAGAACATCTTTAGATCATCCTGGCTCTGACTTGGCCCCCACTCCCGAACTGGGGAGCACTGTTCTTTGCTTTAATGAAGGCAAACTGTCCTTTAGGAATGTGCAGAATTGGAATTTACAGAATGTTGGAAGTGCTTTATGAATTTTAAAATAATGTTATTTCTGGTAATGGGTGTCCATTGTGAACTCCTTAGAAAATACAGGGCCATGTAAAGAGTTTATTGACCTATTGACCTTTCCCTAAAAATCACACATAATTCAGTTACCCAGTGATAACCATTGTCAGTTTAGAATTTATCTGCCTTTTTCCCCTATAATTAGATCCCTCTAGTTACCTAGATATGTCATGGGTATATACTAAATGTTTTTAAAGATCGTAATGAAAATGCAGTTAATGGGACATAAGCATTAAAATCTCACCAGCTTTTTTTTTTTTTTTTTTTTTTAACCGCAACAAGATATGTCCTTTATATGGATACACTTGACCAGTTCTCCCTGGTGGTGCAACGTTCAGTTTATGGTATTTTTCCGCCTTTCAAATTATCTTTCACAAATAGATTCCTAGATTGCTGGGTCAAAGGATTTTGCCTGTTTCTAGTTAGCATTTCCTAGAGACACATGGGCGTTCAGACCTCTGAAGTGAGGACCTGGTGAGCAGCTTACCCAGGATGACCCCATGACCTAGGGGAGCAGCGTCCTGCTCAGGAGTTCTGGCCCCACTCAGCCAGATGCACACTCCCTGCTAACACCTTTTCTCCTCTCTTTCCTTCCCAATGGGATTCACCTCCAGGACCCTGAGATGCAGTGCTTGTTGCTGTCAGACGGAAAGCACCCCGTCCATCAGAACCACGTCATTGTCCTCCCAGCTGATGGCGGGAGCAGCACGGCCGCCATCAGCTTCACCGGGGCCTTGAGGATCCCTGTGAGTACGCGTGCCTGGGGGGAGTTTCAGGAAGGGGCATTTGTGCCTCCTGTTGATGATCAAGCTTAACAAAAGAAACCCGTGGTTATATACTCTCCTGCACAAACCAGAGGTTGCCAACAGGCCGTCTCGGGACTGAGTAAGGCTGCGGTGTCTGTTTGCCTCACACTGAGCTTTCAGTTTTTCAAAATTAGTTGCCTCCATGTAGAAGTTCACCCATTTCGTTGACAAATAGGGCTTCCCATCTCCACTTAGGAAACCAGAACGTCGGGTTCCAGCAAGCCCCTTGCCCCGTGGCCCAGCCCCTCCCTGGGCCTGAAGACCCTGAGTGTGAGCCCCAGGGCGGGGGTGGGGGGCACTGTCCCCGAGTCCCGCTCTGGGGTGTGGGTGAGCCCACTCGGTTTGCTTTACCCTTTAACGTGCTTTTAGGAGAACAAAGCTGGTGTGTTGGAGCTGCACGTGCTAACGGAAGGAGTCGGGGGGAGTGTGCAGAGCCAAGGGAAAAGACAAGCCCCTGGGCAGACAACGCTGCTGGTCCGCAGACTCTGTTCGTTGTTTTAAAGATCAGCGTGCTGGGCCGTGCTGAGGCGGTGGGCCCTGGCTCTAGGCTGACGGGCACACGGAGCCCCTGCTAGTGGGCGCACTGGAGTGTGGTCAGGGCCTGAAGGAGGTCCAGGGAGAGGTTTTTCCACACAGGGCAGGGAGCTGTGCCGTGGTGAGATTTCTTGTTGCTTTAGGTTTTTCTTGTATGAAATTCATGGGCTCCCTCAGCAGAGAATCTGGGGGGCTCACAAAGGACATGTGGAAAATGTGTTCTTCTAACATGGCGAGCCATGGCGGGCAATGAAGGCAGAGCCCAGGGCATAAGCAGGTGGAGAGGGGAGATTCGCAAACACTGCCCATGTGGGGGAGGATGTCCAGGCCCATGCTGTGGCCAGGCCGGTGGACCGCACCTAGAAACATCTGAACTCCTGCCCTTGGGTGTGATATCAGTGGAGCTACTGACGACCTCACACACAGACGTGGTCAGCCTCACCAGCGCGGCCCCTGGTGAGAAAGGGCTGAGGGGGCAGAGGCCCAGAGGCCCTTTAGCGACTGGGTGAGGCAGTAAACATAAACAGTACACCCGGGACCTGAGAATCACGTCACCGAAGTGAAAGAACTTCAGAGAACTTGTGCTGGAGAACAGAAAGTCCTGGCAGCACCCAGATGAAGCTGGGCATCCGGCCAGCAGGGAGCGTGGAAGGCCAGGCCGGGGCTCCCAGAGCCACTGAGAATGTGGGCTGGCGGCGTTTAAATAAAAACTCACCCTTAATAACAACTAGTAACTTTCCCGGTGGTGCCTTATCGTGCGGCTGCTTGGCTGAGGGTAGGGCACACAGTTACAGGGCGAAGGTGGCACTGTGGCCCAGCCTGGCGCCGCCACAGACGCACTGGGGGGTCCCAGGCAAGTGTGCCAGCCACTCTGAGCCTCTGTTTCCTCATCTGCAATGGGGCTTGGGGCTCGGTGCAATACTTACGGTTCCAAGGATTGAATGAGGTCGCTCAGGATAGTGGTGAGCGCCGCGCCGGGCGCGTGGTCCTCATGCCATGAGCCGCGCACGCATCCTCGGACCGAGCTAGCCACTGTGAGACACTAACTCGGGTAATTCCAGAATCGCATAAAGTGAGATTTGTGTTCTCTGCCTAGTTTGGTGGGTGTCCCTGTGCGCACACAGCGTGACACCCTAGTGTTACCCCGCGTCTCACCCAGACCTCCTGAAGATGTCTGGGATGCGTGTCTTATGATGCCACGTCTTTCTAAGAACAGAGCTCAGGTAGAACACAGACAGGACTCTGACAGCAGCCGTCAGACCGCAGGCCCCGGGGTCCTCGTCAAGACCCGCATTTCTCTTCCTGGTGTCTTCCCAGTGCCCCCACTTTGTTGGGTGCAGGTGCGGGCACATGTGTGCGCTGTGACTGGTCGGAAGGCCTGTCCTGTGTGTGTCGGCTGCTGCGTGGTTTGCAGTGGTTTCTGGCAAAAGGAGAGAAAACACCACGTGCACAGTGGCGAGGTGGCCCCTCCAGGCACGCTCTTTGAGAACTCCTTTAACAGCTAGGTTTCCAGAGCGTTGTGGTGTGGGAATCAAATCAGCGCATACTTTTATGGACTCTGATCTGACATCAAGACCTTGGGTCTCCATCTGCAAAGATAGGCAGGTGCTGCAAGAGTGGCCGTGGGCGGGTCCTCTGACCACCCCTGCCACCCCCATCCTCGGGCGGCACCCTGACCCACAGATGCCACCTCCCACTCCCCGCGGCTTCTGCAGGTGCCCCACCAGACAGACATGCCAGCTGTTTTTATGGGAATGAAGTAACTCATAATTGTGTTGCTCGTTTCAGTAAACCTGCTGTGTACACACTTGGGATAAAGACTGGCTCTCTCTTTTTCAGGGCGTGATCGAGTTCTCTCTGTGTTTGCTGTTTGCAAAGTTGGTCAGCTATACCTTCCTCTTCTGGCTTCCTCTGTACATCACAAATGTGGGTGAGTTCTTGCTGGAAGCACCAATGTTACGTTCGTGCAGGGGCTGTGATCTGGACTCCCTTTTATGTGCTGATTTCTAGAGCCTCATGATGCACGATGAGTTGAGACGTACTTTTGGATCAAACAGTGTGATTAGTAGAAAAGTAGAGGCAGAAAGAGAATTCGGATATGGAAGTTGTATTGCCGTAATAACTCTGATGGGGCTTAAGGGGCCCCGCGTTCCCAGCTGTGGCTGCCAGCTCCATGAGGCTCTTCCTATCTGGGGCGGCCTGCATTCCAGTCTAGGCTACATCGAACTTCAGGTCACACCCTCCCATGAGGAGGAGAGGCCCCGGGGATCTGAGATAATAAATGCTGAGTCATCTGACCTGGAAATTGCTTCTTGGAGGTGAGCTCTAATTTTAGGGACAGCTGACAGCCTGTTTCCTAAGTCCGGCCGTGGCTGAAGCTGTAGAGAGGACAGAATGCACTGGCCCACTGGCACCGTGCACCCCTGTGCTGTGTGTGACCACAGAGGGAAGGTCAAGAGGGGGCACCAGCCGTTCTTAAGAGATGCTGAGTGCAGGGGCTGCAACCACGGCTGAAGGGGGTTGGGGGACAGTCAGGGAGGGCCCTGGAGCCTCTGGGCCCAGGAGCCAGGGATTGCAAGGAGAAAGGAAAGAAACCAGGGCCCCGCAGAGATGTGGGCTCTGGGGATGTGACAATGAGGGGAGATTTGGAACATGGGGGTTCATAGAGCACAGACCACTGTCGGGGAGGAAGACCTTCCTCTGCCCTGTGGTCCTTCTAGCTGGACTTACAATCAAAATGCCACGTGACAGGTGCCCAGAGAAAATCACAGTTAAGAGCGTGTGCACGGGGAATCCGCACAGACAGGGACAGTTCAAAGACAGTGAGGTAACGTGAAGCTTATGTGAACTCAGGAGCGGGCTTGGGTCTGGGGGTACACAGGGGGCAAAAGCGCATTAGCGGGCAGGTGAGAGGAGGTGTTTGGAAAACACAAGGTTGCCCCCTTATGCAGATCAGCTCCTTAGATAAAGGGGAGTCTTTGGTAATAGCTCCCTCGCTGGTATGGGCTCCCCTTCCCAGTGTAAACCTAGGCAGTTGTGGGGGAGGCAGAGCGCTTTTCCTGAATCTGCTGGGTTTTAATTACTTTAACACGAAATAGACTTTTTTAGATATTTATTTATTTATTTATTTATTTATTTAGAGAGTGCATGAGCAGAGGGAGGGAGGGAGAGAGAATCTCAAGCAGACTCCACTCTAAGCTCAGAGCCTGACACGGGGCTCCATCTCACGACCCTGGGATCATGACCTGAGCCGAAATCAGGAGTCACATGCTTAACCCACTGAGCCACCCAGGTGCCCCCTTAACTGAAAATAATCTTTATTCCAAAGTGGCCCGTCCTGGGGCCGCCTGCCCTGGGCCCCAACACCGCAGATTCCCGGTGGTCACTAAGGACAAGCAGAGGTGGCCGTGAGCCCAAGGCAAGAGGGCTGGGTTTCACAGGGACAGCGGTGAGGCAGTAAGGGGGCCGTCCACATTAGGGGGGATGGTAAGGAGCTGCTCCCTGTCACGTGACTCCGTTAGGGCAGGGAGGCCACGTGCAGCGTAGAGAGGTAGCCTACCTTCTTTCTTCCTTCGTTCCCTGTGATTGCAGAAGGGGTGACATTTTCAGGACTCCAGTCACGAATTGCTGGCTTTCCCAGTCCCGGTGGTTAAAAAAGCCAAGTCCCTTGTATGTGGCACTGAGGTCACCAGGAAAGGCTGGACTTGACCTGTGCTCCCAAATGCTTCCCCAGCCCACTTCTGCTGCACGGGCCCACCTGAGTCCCCCGGAGAGCCCAGCGTGGCTTCCTCCTCTGCTGTATGAGGAGCTCCAGTCCCTCCAGACCTAAGGCCTCAGGGTCAGCCGGCCAGTGTCCGTGGCCCTCCCGCCGTGCCAGAGCCTCTCTGTGCCAGGCAGTTCTTACCGCCTTCTCTGCTGCGCACAACTTATGGCCACCCCTGGGGGACACTGAGCCAGAGAGGATGGTAATTAGGCTGAGCCGGGCAAATCCTCATTTCTTGGTAAAGAGTGGTTTTCATCTTTTCTGCGCATTTACCTGCATAGGGGGCTGCAGAGTCAACTGCTAGCTGCTATTGGTGTAAGTCACCCTTAGAACACAAAAGAGTGCCATGTGTAGTCTTCCTTTACTGTGACTTGCTCACAAGGACACTTGTCGTTTTGTTAGATCACCTGGACGCCAGACAAGCCGGGGAGCTCTCCACCCTGTTTGATGTGGGCGGGATCTTCGGTGAGTCCTTCCCTCCCTGTTGTACTTGGATGGGAAACTTTGCCCGTGGTAGGTGAACGCCTGGGACTGTGTTCTCTCTGAGCTGACTTCCTGTTGAGAGGAACACACGTTCCCCAAAACATCGCATCACCCGAGGGGACGTTACGGCCATCCCTCTGAGTGACGGTCCCCCGTCCTGCACCTGACTCCGAGCCCGAACTGGCGCTGCCTCGGAAGCAGGGAGCAGGGGCACACTGGTGGTTTAAGGGCCCTGACAGTGAAGGAGCTTCGGGGCCAGCCTGGAACCAGACCCGAGACTTGCCCTCTGTCTCACGGGGAGATGCCCCCGGGTCGCCTACCTCTGCCCACAGCCCCGTGAGGCCTGTTCACTGAGACGGTGAACATGGACAGGGGCATGGGGAAGGAGCTGATTCTCTTGTATACTCTGCTTCCTCTCGATGGGCCCTTGCCCTGGGGACCCAAGCACCCCGGGCCTCACCCCCCTGTGTTGCAGGTGGGATCCTGGCAGGTGTGATCTCAGACCGGCTGGAGAAAAGGGCCTCCACCTGTGGCCTGATGCTGCTGCTCGCAGCCCCGACGGTGAGTCCAGGCCCCCGCTGCACCCCTCCCCTGTCCAAGCCCCGAGCCTCCAGAAGCAGCCTCCCTCCCCACCAGTAAACACTGTCACGTCCCGCCCAGACTCAGCCCCATTCATTGCTCATGGTTTCTGGATGCTGGCGGTAACCTCCAAACCCCTCAGCATGCCCCTCAGCCTGCCAGGCCCACTCCCCCAGACGCCTCCCGTGCCCCCTGCACATTGCCGGCCCACCTCTTCGTTCATCCCTGGCTCCCTGTGGGGGGCTCCCTCCCCGGCCCCTCTCCCCTCCCCCACAGGCTCCTGCTCAGCCTCTAGGGTCCCCTACCTCCCCAGGCAACGCTGACCCTGCCCACCATCGTGCTGGATTCTGCTTTTCATGCATTTGGTGTCACACGACCTTGGGCAGGTGACCTTTCCTCTCCGGGCCTGTTTCCTCATCCGAAAACTGAGGGTGCTGGTAGCACCCCTCCCAGAGGGAATGTGAGGGTTTCTAAATCAGTTCATGGTAATTTTGGGAATAACGCCATTACTCATCAACTTGCGTTGTACGCATCTGCCCGTCTGCTAGTCCCCAGAACAAGGCCTAGCTGCCAGTCACCTGGGGGCCTGGGACACTGGCACGCACAGACCCTCTAAGAACCTTTACTGAGCAAGCGTCAGTGTGGCCCCTGACGCAGGACCCCCTTAAGCCGCTGCAGCTGTTCAGGGGGATAGCCTGAGAAGGAGACGGTCACATGGAGCCCAGGGAGAGCTGCCCCAAGCCGCGTCCGGCAGCCCTGGGAGCTCAGAATGGGGGGTGCCGTCAGACCCTGCGCGTGGGCGCCGAGGCTGGGGACTCCCGGGCGCCTGTCTTCATCTCCCGCTGGCGCCTGAGAGTCCTCTGCCTGGCTTTTCAGAAGGACAGGCTCCTGGGCGGTGTTCGGCCGCCTGTGCTAACCCATGGTTCCCCTGTGTTTACACCCTTGGCAGCTCTACATATTCTCCACCATCAGCAAAATGGGCCTCGAAGCCACGATCGGTGAGTCCGTGAGGCTTTTCTTGTTGCGCACACGGGTTCTGTCCACACAGCTTGCTGAGACAAAGTAGAAAATCAGCACGGATTTGGCTGGTACAGCTGGAGCGTTGGTGTGGCTGCAGTAGGCCCGTGTCCCTCTCTGGGCAGGACACCTGCTCCCCGAGGGAGGCTTGCCCGTCTGCAGGTCTGAGCACAGGCGTGGGAGAGCGCAGGCTGCCGGCTCCGGGGCCGCGAGGAGGCCCCCAGAGAAGCCTGAGGCCTGCAGCCCTGGCGGGCGGGAGCAGGCCGGAGCCGGGCAGGGGACAGGCTCCCAGCTGGCTTCTGTCACCTGCCATCCTGAGAGCAGTTGCATGACACTGGGGGGCTATTTTTAACTTCCCGCAGGCAGCGCTATCCGATGATGGCTCTGACGGTTGGTAAATATTCTTCCTGTCATAACAAGCTGGCCGTGGGGACTGGGAAGGAAGCAGGCTGTGTGTGATCCCATCAGAAGTTATCCAGAAGGCAGGTTGCTGACGTGAGGGACCATGGGGTTTCCCGCGACCTGGTGGTCCAGAAGCTACTGCACAGAGTGTGAGCCAGAGGCTAGCTTGAGAAAGTGAGCCTGGAGGACCGTGTAGAAAGCGTGTGTTCAGAAATAAGCATGTTATCCTGCCCTCGGGAGCTCGGCTACGCTGGGTCTGCGGGTTCCCCTCAGGGAACCAGCAGCCGTGGGCGCTGAGAGGGAGAGAACCCTTTCCACTGCAGAGAAGGCCGTGGCTGGTGTTAGCACCCGGCCAGCACCGATGACAGGGGCACCGGCACGCCCAGGGCACGGTCACACTCGGGGCACCAGGGTTCTACTCGCTCCTGGGGTGTCCCCAGCTGCCCCCGTTGAGGAAACGGGAGTACTGGGCCCTCTGGACACAGCCGGAGCCTTCGGGGGAGTGTGAGAGGACTTACAAACACATCCGGGCAGGTTTAAAGGAAGATGCTCACCACACTTGGCCCGGCAGTCACCACACCCCAGATGTGCGGGCCGCCTTCCCAGCACCCGCCTGCGTGCGTTCCGCTCAGGCCAGGCCCATGCCTGACACCAGGCTGCTCACCTCGGGGCAGCTGAGGCCGTGGAGGCTCTCCCAGAGGGCACCGTTTTGCTACTAAATCCCTCCTTCTGGTTTCTGGTTCCCACAGCCATGCTGCTCCTCAGCGGGGCCCTGGTCAGCGGGCCGTACGCCCTGATCACGACCGCCGTCTCTGCCGACCTGGTGAGTGGCCACGCGTCTGAGCTCGGAGCAGAGGCAGGGGCCGGTCCTCTCAGCCGTTCTTGACAGAGATGGTCGCTCTTAGTAAAACCGTGTCTTTGTAGAAGCAGCTTTTTCCCTATGAATGATACCTATGCTTTTAAGAGTCTTCTGAAGCAAATGCGGGGAGCTCCTGGCCCTGTTGCATACACGAGGGCGCCGAGTCGAGGTGAAGGGGCTCGTGTGAGGCCCGAGGTCAGGATCCAGCTCGCTGGCTCACTCCTCCGTGCTGCCCTTGCTTAACCCCGGGGGCTGGTGGCCGTGCACCCCAGAGCCCGGCCTTGGGGCCCAGTTGGAGACCCAGTGGGGTCGGCTCCTCCCTTCATCCGGCCCCCTCTGTGCCTGGCCCTCTGCTGGTCTGCCTTGGGATCCACAGGAATAGCTGCCCCACGCTTCCCAGAGGAAGAGGGTGCTGACAAGGTGACCTTGGACTCCTGATCAGGAGAGCCCGACCTCCATGCTCCTAGGACCCCGTGGAGGCAGGGCCACCTTCATCCACCTGACATGAGAGACATTTCACACGGTCGTCAGAGGCTCCCACCTGTAGGGAACGCTGCAGCAAGATACAAAGTCCTCTTTAAAAAGTCATTTCCCTACACAAATGGGAGAAAAGAGACAAATGCCCCGTACAGACTTTCCGTGGATGCTCTGTCCTCGGAGAGAGGGGGCACGCCTTGCTCTCCTTAGGTGTGGGCTGCACACAGCGACTTCCTCCCAAGGGCGGGGGAACGGGGTGGCTACGGGGAGACCTGACAGGCACGCCCACGAGGGGGTCACAGCCACGCCGACAGTGACCGGGCGTGTGACGGCCTGCACCCTGGGCACGTACCCGAAGATGGCACTGCGCCTCTGTGGCCTCCCTCCCCAGACCCACCACCCAGTCTCCTCACGAGGAAGGCATCGCGCACAGCCCAGCAGAGGGGCGTTCCGCTCGAGGCTGTCGGCGGCGTCGGAAAGAGCAAGCGTGAGGAACTATCAGGAGACGTGCTGGCTAAACGTCACATGGGGCCCTGGACAGAAAGAGATCAAAGTAGACAGCAGCTAGCACCCAGCGTGTTAGGTGATGCTGACCATCAGTGTTGGGCCCCTCATAGTGGCAGCTGTGACACAAAGTGGGTGCAGGGCACACAGCCCTGTGTACGATCGTGCAGAATTCCGGGCACCTAAGACTATTCGAAAATTAGAAGCTCATTCAGATTCATAAGCAGTTGCCCAGAGCTGCTTTGTCGCCTCGTGGGCCGGATGGCCGGTCCCCCCCTCCCCGATGCACCCCCGAGGCCCCCGGAACTTCGCGGCCCCTCCAAGGACCCTGCTTCTCTTCTGCACCTCCCTCAAGTCCTCCCAGAATCAGACCCCGAACTCACCAGCCCCTCGCTCGTTCTCCTGCTTGGAAACCGTGGCAAGCCCGGGCGGCTGCGGACCCCGCATCTGCCCCCTACCCTCGTCTCTGGGCCGGGCATCTCCCCGACGCTGCGCCTTGCCCAGCGACGCCTGTGCTGTTCTCAGCACCTCAGGCCCTTCCACGTCCGAGACAACCAGAGGCCCTGCCCTGCCAGGTCAGCAAAGAGAAGCGGAGGGAGGGGCACTGGGGAGTCCAGCAACAGGCCCACCTTTGTGCTCCTGTGTGCACGGGGCACAGAAAATTCTGGAAGGGTCCACACCGGACCACTAACAGTTGTCTGCCCCGTGGGATCAAGGACAGAAGAGGGACTCCAGACTCCAGAAAACGTGGATATTGCTTCGTGTGTGTGCCGCTTTATTTTGTATATTTATGTGGACACACATACAAGCATCTGTTGTTGCCGTCTTGGGTTTATTTGTGTAGTTTTAGGCTTCCGGGCATTATTTCTCCCAATTATTTTTTTTTCTTTTATTGTCCTCCATTTGTTTCTTTCTCCCAACCTTCTGTGTCTTGCTTTCTGAAAACCAGAGCTCCTGTGGGTTTGTCATTTAGGACTTGGTGACCCCCACATTGGCTTCCTGGGTCCTGCCCCATTCCCCCTCCCTCCTGGTGTTTGCTGAGAACTGGGTGGGTTTTTAGGTACTACAGAGCCATCTGGCACGTGTCACAGCCCCTCGCGGGATCGTGGAAGTGGGCATCAATGCTGGCACAGCTCGGGGACAGGGACGAGGGTCATCCGTGTCTTTATCTTCCACATTGGCTGGTGGGGTGTGCTGAGTAAATATTTGCTTAAGGAAAAATTCTGAGAGTTCTTTAAACCAGAATGTTTGGACAGTTATTTCTGATGATTTCTTACTGTTAAAAACCCTTAAACTTTGTATATCTTTCCAAAGTGAGTTTGGAATGGAGTAGAGTTTAAATTTTCTGATGGAAAACACCCCATGTTTTGAATTGCTTTGCAAAGTTGTTTGGGCAAATTGCTGAAGGAGGCGCAAGCTTGTTTCTCACTGAGGCTGCCCAGATGTGCCTCACGTTTGCTGTCCCCTCTCTTCTAGGGCACGCACAAAAGTCTCAAGGGAAACTCCCATGCCCTCGCCACTGTGACCGCCATCATCGACGGGACTGGGTCTGTAGGTGCGTGGATATTTTTAATTCTAAGAGGTTAATTGTGGTCATAGGGGAAACCGGATTGTCACATCGTAATTAACAATTGCCAAGGATTCCAGGTGCTTTGATAATATTAGGATTGGCTGGCTTTTTTTTTTTTTTTTTACTTTTTTGGGTTTTTTTACTGCATGAAACACTCTTTACACTATTGTTACAATGCTTATTATTGGGGCACCTGGTTAGCTCCATCGAGCACGCCACTCTTGATCTCAAGGGTTGTGAGTTCAAGCCCCACGTTGGGCATAAAGCTTACTTTAAAAATAAATAAATAAAAACAAATAAAATTCAAAAAAAAGATTTTTTTTCAAGAATCAAAGATTATTTTTAGTTAGATGGTATCATCATGCTAGTATCTTTTTTTCTCTACAAATGAGTGCAACACTGTAATTTAAAAAATATAAAAGCTGATATGGGATTTGGGCACCAGAGCCTTAAAAATGGCAGAGTTCAGAAGAAAGAGCCCCTGCAACACGACAGTTCTCTACAGACACAGGGAAGGACAATGTCAATAAGCAAAGGCAGAAACTCCCCTTTCTTAGTTAATTTTACAAAAGGAACTTAATTAAAAATTTAATCCTAATACATAATACACATATAAAATCTGACTCGACAAAACGGAAAACATCTCTCATGTTGTAAATATGGTACTTACATGCACTCAATAATTTAATAATAATTTTTACTAATGGAAAAATACGGTAATCATAATCACTTAAAGTTCAGTTAGTATTTCGGCAGAATTGCTAATGTATTTTAATCATCTATTACAAAAACCAGCTAAGGGCAAATTGATTAGTGTAGTTGCCACAGAGTTCAGATAATTGTTATTGACAAGTTTAGATCATTTAATGAAAAAAAAAGCTCTAACAGTTGTTACTGTGAAAAACTGATGTTTTCTAAGACCAAACCATGGCACGCACGCAGACTCAAGGAGTGTGCAGCGAAAGGTGAGGACTGGGTCCCCACGTTCAGTCTAGGGGCAAGACCCTGCGTGGCAGAACACCAGCTCACCCGAACACATCCATAGCATTTCCAGTATGTTACAGAACTTTCATCAATCGGATTTTTAAAATTTCAAGTAGAAAACCTAATTCCAAGGTAGGATGTTCAGATAATTTCAGTATTCAAAAAGCTCAGTCCCCATTCAGAAACAGATAAACAGTGTGCTTATTAAATGAGTTAAGACATAAACTTGGGCGCCTGGGTGGCTCAGTCGATTAAGCGTCTGCCTTCGGCTCAGGTCATGATCCCAGGGTCCTGGGATCGAGCCCCGCATCGGGCTCCCTGCTCGGCGGGGAGTCTACTTCTCCCTCCCCCTCTGCCTGCCACTCTGCCTACTTGTGTTCTCTATCTCTCCGTCAAATAAATAAATAAAATCTTTAAAAAAAAGACACATAAACTTTACAAACAGACAAATAATAAGGGACGGCTTGGCCTTTTACAGATCTGATCAGATCAAAAGCATGTGCAGATCTGGGGTACATGGGCGTGCAGGCGTCTGTCCCCTGGTCGGGCGGCTCCACAGTAAGGATGGGCACGGGACTGGCGGCAAGTACTTTCCTTCCATGTGAAAGAACGCACGCTCAGGTTTTCACCGAAGCCAGCTGTTGGCAAACTGCAACTGCGGTCACTGGTCCCCTGTTTATCACTCCCATTCAAGACGGGAATTAACCATTCCCTTAACCCAGTGCAAATGCCAGGAACACTAATAGTCCCCAGGCATACAAGAGTCAGGTGTTACCAGCCTTGTTATGGTTCTTTTTTTATTTTTAAAGAGGCTCATTTTATTTTTTTAAAGATTTATTTATTTATTTGAGAGAGAGAGAGCATGAGTTGGGGGGTGGGCAGAGGGCAAAGCAGACTCCCCACTGAGCCCAGAGCCCAACACGGGGCTTGATCCCACGACCCATGAGATCATGACCTGAGCCGAAACTAAGAGTCAGACACTTAACCAACTGAGCCCCCCAGGCGCCCCTCGTCACGGTTCTTGAAGAGTGTTCAGTAGCATATTCGGGAGGAAAGAAAGGTGGCAAAATAAGCAAGTCCTTCACTCAGAGACAGTCAGGTGGGAACCGATACAGTGACAAGTGTGTTCTTACCGACAAGTTAGCAGACTGACGGCAACGTTCTCGAGCTTTCTCGAGCCTTCCTGCCAGGAGCACATGTGCTGTGACCGCCCCCTGCCAGGGGCCCTGCCCTGCACAGGGCACCTGCCGTCCTACGCTGGTCCCTCTCCGGATGTGGGAAGCTGAAGCTCGGGAGGTTGGCTGGTGTGGTGCCCACGGCTACCCAGGAGGACCTTGGGTGGCATCCCGGTGTCACCTGCTGCCCCAGGCTCCCACAGGAGGGGGACCGTGAGAGAGAGTGCAAGCTAGATGGGGAGGGACACCTGGGCATCTAGGACGATCTCACAGCAGTAAAACCAAGCTCTTTCCAGACAAAGGCGGCTCAGGAAGAACACAGTTCCACCTGAGCCTGGCACCTGGGGCTGTCCTTCTGCACCACTGTGGGAAGCTGAGGTTTTTCTCTTGGCAGTGCCCATGGCCCTGTGTGCTAGCTGGATAGAGACAGCCACCGTCCACTCCTGGACGCCCACTGCTGTCTTACTAGTGCAGAATCTGAAGTCCTTCCCGCCACTCTCCCAAGCCACGTGGCCTCCCTGCTGATGCTCGCAAACACCAGTGTGTCCCCGTGCAGGGCCTTTGCACGGACGGTGTGCTGCGCCCGAGGAGCTCCCTTCAGGGACCTCATGCCTGTGCCCTTGTGCCCTTGGAGTCTTGGCCCAGCTATCACAGCTGGAAAAAACTCAGGGCTCTACGTAGTGGCTCTGTGTATGGCACAGAGCACACAGGTCCTCTCTGGGACCTCTCGGCCTGCCTGGAAGGTGGACCATCTTCCCTGGCGTCTCTTCTCCGCAGCACATTTTGCCTGTCAGCTCTGTGGACCTGCATGGAGTCTGTCTGCTCCAATCTCTGCTGAATTCTCAGCACAGAGACAGCACCTGGACATAGTAGTCACTGAGTAAACGAGTGTGAAATGAATGGCCTGGGTGCTCTAAGACACCCAGGATCGCAGGTGGGGCCAGGCCACCTCTGTCCAGGCCGTTGAGTTCACAGGGGAGGGGCCGGGCCAGCGAGGCCCTGGGCTCGCCACAGCCCGCACGGCTCATCGGGACAGGGCTGCCCCCCTCCGGGTCACAGGAGCCCTGTCTGTGCTCCGGCTGCCATTCCCAGGGGCTCCGGCAGCTGGCTTCATGTGGCAGGTCCTGCGTGTTCCAAGATGCACTAAGCAAAGTCGCCGTTGCAAGGGGGCCAGGCTTGAGCGTCTGTTTTTCTCCAAAGTCATACCTGCCCCATTTTTGGATCCGGTGGGGGGAGGTGGCTGAATTTGCTGGGCAGTGTTAGCGGCCACCCCTCTGACGTTTCGAGGCACCCCTCGGGGCCTGGGGATGCGTCCAGAGAGAGGGCAGTGGTGCTGTGCCCATGGCGGGTGTGTGCAGGGTCCACGGCTCTGCCCAGTCACGTAGCTCGGCCAGGGAGACACACACACACTCGGTCAGAAGTCGGGACGTTTCCGGGCTGAGCTCAGTTCTAATGAGCCTCGTGACTTTGAACCACCTTCTGTCCGCAGAGGACAGATGGCGAGTCAGCCCAGCTGCCACCGTGAAGCCGTTTCTTCAAGCAGACTTGCACCCTGCCGGCGGCCCCCATAGCTGTTTTCTAGCAGAGGATGGCCGTTTACAAGGAGGGAAATTGTGAATCAGGTGAAAAAATACGTCTTTCCTGATAGTCTTCTCAAAACAAGAGGGAGCAGAAGGGCCTGGCTGAGGATGGAGAGCGCGTCTGTGAGCCGCCAGTAGAAACCAAGGCTCAGCTCCGAGCTGAGGAGGACGACACGAAGGACGGCAGAGGGCAACCGTCTCCCACCTGGCCCCTGACCTGCAGCCCTGCCAGCCCCCGGCCCACGGGCCGGGCAGCGGCCGCTGTGCAGCAAGCGGCGCCTGTCATTTCTCGCCGTAAGTGCTGCCCCCGCCACACAGAAGAAAGAACGGCTCGAGCGGAAATGCACGCCGTTCACGGAGCGTTCACCTTGACACCTTTGTTCAATGTCGCCAGTACTGGTTTCGACGGAGGCCGAGCTCAGCTCACGGTAAATAAGGCAGTGTCTTCTTGCAGCTCACCGGGGCCATGTGGTTCCAATGACGCAGTTTACCTGTTTGGCGTGTTGCCAGCGCTCTTGGAGGGGCCTTCCCGGGGGACACGAGGCTCATTGTGTCTGTATGTCGTACACAGAGCAACTACGTAGAGCCCTGAGTTTTTTCCAGCTAATTTTTATCTTATCAAAGTAAAACATGATGTCACTTTTGAGGCCAGATAGCCTTACAAGCTAATTACGATGGAAAATGTTGGTCCTTGTGCCCCTCCCCCAGCTCCGTCCTCCTAGAAGCAGCCATGTCAGCTGGTCCCCCTGGTCTGACTTGCATACGAGTCTACATACTTCTCCATTCCTCGGCCTGGCACTGTCTGCTGTCCTCCTAGGAAGGAGACTGGGGCTCGGCTCTTGTGCCTCCGAGCCCCCTTCCACATCCTCCTCAGCACCCCTCCTCGTGTTAGCATCGCTCACTCTGAGCCAAGAAATAATCGTTTTGCTGTCATGCTCGCTCCCTTGCTTCCGACCATCAGCAGTGAGGGGCTGCCTGGCCCCGCTGCTCCCACGCCTCGCCCCAGAGCCTTTTCCCCCGCCTCCTGTGACCCCTTCCATCACGTGCCCACCCATCTTCTAGCCGCCAAGTCAGCTCCTCTTTGATGGAGGAGACTTCCAGTGGCTCCCTGAGTATTAGCTCACGGGAGGTGGAGCTTGAGGGCTGAGAGTCTGCACGGTCTGGCTTCTGCTCTAGCTTGTAGATAAGAATCCCAATCCCAGGCTAAAAGTCGTTTTCTTCAGGATTCCAGCGTCTTACAGCTTCCCTGGTCTCCCTTGTGAAGTCCATTGTCACTTTCGTCCCAGCCCTCATTTCTGCCTCTGCCTGCTTCCCCCAAAGACTTCTGGGCACCTTTCTTCATCCCCTGTGCCCGCCCCCCCCCCCCAGGGGCCCACCTCGCCTGGAGACACATGCCCTTCCTCTCCGCGAAATCATGCTCTGTGTTTTCTTTGACACGTTTCCCCTACTGCTGTCTGTTTTTAATTCCTGGAAAACTGATTAGTCAGAGGTTAACCTTTCTGGGTTAATCCTTCAATTTTTTTTCTTTCTTTTTTCCTTCTTTCCTGTCTTTTTCTTTTTTCTCTGCTTTCTCAGAGATGTTCTTGACTTTACTTTCCAACCTTTACTTTGGTTATCTAATGTTAACATTCATTAACGTTATCTGCCCCTTGCGTGCCCCTTGCGTGCCCCTTGCGTGCATCTCATTTTTTGTGGGTTTTTTTTTTTTTTGCAGTTTTATACCTTTATTTGACAATCAGTGATTGTCACTCTCCGAGCAAGGAGACTAGAGCCCATGTCCTTGTCGTGCCCTTGAAAGTCCATCCTCTAAGAATGGTGCCTTGTCTCATCTGCCCTTCTCTTTGTGGGCTTAAAATCTGTTAAATTCACATGTGGTGCATTTTGTGGTGTTGGGTGGTGTAGAAATAAGCACACGTGAGCAATCTACCATGTTTACCTGGAAGCTCCCCTAAGACTTAACACACATGCAATCACTTCTCAGGTATACAGGTAGTAAGGGCTCCCTATAAACACTTGGAACAACAGTACATACGAAGTGGGAAAGACCCTCATACTCCTACCTCTCGGGGTGAAGTGTCAGGATAACTTGATGTAGATTCTTCGTACTTCTTACCGTGTCGAAACGATGACCCATCCTATCACGGATCATAATCTATTCCTATCTCTCTTAGGACAATAAATACCCAAACTGCTGCAACATTCTTGGATATCTTTGGGCATTTTGAGGAATATTTGCTTTCTTTCATTTTCATAGTCTCTCAAAAATCATTTTGACATAATTTTAGACTTACAGAAAAGTTGCAGAAATGGTACAGAGAATTCACATATCCTACATCTGCTTCATCCTCTGCTCTATGCGCACACACACATTTGTACCACACGTGTATGCACACGCACATGTAAGAATATACATATGCCTATTTTTTCCCAAACTGCTTAGGGGCAAATAACAGACACGCTGCTCCTTTACCAGGAGCTGTGTATTCAGTGTGCATTCCCTAAAGACAGAGAAGCCCGGGATTTAACCACAGCACCTAATTATCAGAATGAGGACGTTAGCACTAATACAGCATTAGTGCCTACAAACCTTACTCATATTTTACCGATTATACGTTTCATAACATAAACATATCTAAGATTGTGCTTTAGATTCAGATTTTTTCAATAAAATTTTTCACTGGGATTGTTGGATCCAAAGAATGAATGTGTTAATGTCAATATGTATTTTTAGATTGGCTTCCAGAGAGAGGTTGTGCCGGCCACATCCTCGTGGGTACTGGGTACTTGTGAGCTTTCCATCCCCACCAGCCTGAGAGGCAAGAATGAGTTTTTGTTGTTTTAACGTGTTTTTCGTTAACCATGAAGGCGGTGTGGAGCACCATGCTGTGTACTCCTGGGGCCTGGGTATTCCGGAGCCACCTTCCGGAGTCTTCCTCGCACGGCTCACCTGTGTCCCTTTGCCCCCTCCCAGGAGCAGCCCTGGGCCCTCTGCTGGCTGGGCTCCTGTCCCCATCTGGATGGAACAACGTGTTCTACATGCTGATGTTCGCAGACGCCTGTGCCTTACTGGTAAGTCTCTCTGATTGTTGACCGAACACTGGTGATGCTTCTTCCAGGGGAACTGTGGGCTTCAGGGAGGCTTGGCCTGTGACAGAGTCCGACTTCCCTGAGTGCTCATGATCCGAGGCCTTCCTCTTCCTGGTCTGAGCAAACGTCAGAACAGAAACAAGCCCATCCTGCTCTGCAGCTTCGGGCAAGACGGTAGGGAAGCAGAGAGCAGGGGTGCCCTGGCGTGGGACCCCAGCCCTGTCATCCGTCGGCGGGTGTGCGCCTGGAGCAGATGACTCAGCCTCTGTCCTGCAGCTTCCACGGTGGTTAAATGGGCATAATAACAGCACCCCAAGACAGGACTATCGAGGGGACTGGAGGAGCTGGCAAGCCGAAACCCACTCCTACACGGCGAACCCCGTTGCCCCCGTGCTCCTCCTGCATCCGGCAGCGCCCTGGGGAAGCAGCCCGATTCCCAGCACCCAGAGGGATGGGAAGGAAGAAGCAGAGGCTGCAGGGGCAGGCGCCTAGGGCTTCTGTTGGCGACCCTGCTCTCTGGTGGCCGCCCTGAGATTCGGGTGTGCTGCAGGACAGATGGGACCCGGCACAAGTCAGAGGTGTGCAGTGCACCCCTGGGAGTGGCTGGTGTGCACGGAGTCCCTGGCCTGAAGCCACGTGCCTCCCCTCGCTTCCCCAAAAGACACCTGACATTGATCCCAGTAAGAGTGAGCTGAGGACTTGGAAATCTCAGCTCTGTCAATCACATGAAAGTTCTGTATTTTCACTCCAGGACTATTTCAGATAGAATCCAACGTCAACTTTCAACTGAGGAGCCTGTTAGGTTTGAAGAGGCTGTTCCTAAGAATATTTGTTTTTGTCAATGCCTGAGGGTTTTGGTTAAGTCCCCAGCTCATTTCAGCTAAGTGGCAGTGAGACTCTCACCAGGAGGGCTGTTTGAAAACTGAACACTCTCCTTCACCAATGTCGGGGATGCACCTTACGCTTCCTTCTAGATGCATAGCAACTCCGAGGAGAGGCAGGGTATCCACAGGACCCACGGCGTCCAGGCAGCATAAACAAGTACTGAGGCCCTGGCTGGAGCCTCAGGGCGAGTCGTCCACTCGGGAATGGGGGGCTGCCAGTGGTTCTGCCCCCGAGGAGAGGAGATGAGGGCTCGGGCTGGGCTCCAGTGGGCAGCTTACCGGCAACACTGGCACGTGGGTCCAAGAAGACGAGGGCCAGATGGACGTACAATAAGCCCACGAGACACTACGGGAGATGTCCGGGAAGGAACGGAGTGCATGAGCACCGAACGCAGGCTGGTGGAGCAGACAGCAGGAAGCCCGGGGCAGCTCGGACAGGGAGGCGGGGGCCAGCGCTAGAGGCTGACCAAGTACAGGACGGAGCACACACGGGTGGTCTGCTCCGAGCCCCCGGGGAGGGATCTAAGACCCGGATGGAGCACAGGGGAAGACAGAATAGCTGACGGAGAAGCCGGGGTGAGCACACGCGTCCAAACGGGACTGTGAACGGCCTGCGCCGGCCGGTCAGCCGCAGAGGTTGCAGACTGACGTGTCACGGTTCAGGAAGGACAGAGACGAGAACGTGAACATACCCGCAGGCAGGTAGTAACCGAAAGGAAGCTGGACTGGCCGGGTCAGATGCGAGGTCGGGAGAGGAGCCACCCCGCAGCGGGCGGTGTAAACACCTGCCATACCTCTTCTGGGACCTCCCCAGTCTGAGGCTGGGAACCTCGGCGTCTCCGGGCAGGTCACCTGGAGGGGTCAGATCCGGGCGCCCTGCGGGACTGTCCGGGGAGTGTGACCAAAGCCTGGTGGTCATGCTGTCACATGCATAGGCTTACCCCCGCAGACGCGCGTCACAGGAGCTCCAGGCAGCTGGTCTCGCCTGCAGACACAGCACTTCGTCACCTTTGACCTTCAGATTCGTTGCTACCGTCTGCGCTGTATTTCAGGCCACATAAATCACTTGTCATTTTCCTCCCTCTTCCCCTCCTGTGATCTGCCCTGTGGAACCAGAGGCTCCTCCTGCTTGCACTTCACACGTTGCACGTGGTGGGGGAATGTGTATGGTCGGGTACCAGCTCCAGCTGAGCAGACGGATGCTCCTCTGGGCTGGAGGCTCAGATTCTCAGGGTCAGCTTGCGCAACAGAAAAGTCACTGTCGCTGCTGTCACCTCCAGCCCTGCACTGAGCACCTGACGTGTCCCCGCTTTCCCACTCTAACCGCATGCGCACTGCTTGAGGGTCAAGCAAAGCAGCCGGCCTGCGCTTTCTCTGTGGGAGACACACCTGTTCTCTTCAGCCTGAACTCGTGTCGTATGAGGGACTTTGAGCTCCTGCTTGGAACTCGAGCATCGAAGACAATAAGTGTCCCTGCCTCCTAGAGCTCTGACCTGAGCTGGGTCCTGCGGAGCTGCGTGGGTTTTTAACCCGTGCTGGGCCTCTCTCGGCCCACTGGTCCCTCCTGAGCCCAGGGGCACCTGCTGCCCTTGTGAGGGGGGCCACCAGAACCAGGAGCCTGTTTCCCTGCGCACGGGGCCCTCCTCTGGGGCTGGTATCAGCGTGCAGGCAGACCAGGTGCACAGCCACAAACAAGCAAAACCAGCTCACTGGTGAGGTGTTCTGCCATTAGTCCGGCTCTGTAGACCGACTCGGCCCTGTGAGCAGGTAAAGGAGCTCGAGGAAATGGTGGTAGGTGAGTGAGGCAGAGCTGTCCCTGGTTTAGTCGCACAGCCGCTGCAGAGGCTGTGGGCGAGGGTCCCGGCGGAGCCAGGTTCTCCCCCAGAAGCTTCCCGATAAAATGTGGCTGTTCCAAAGATGGCCTGGTCAGCCTCCCGGTGCTGGGGCCCGGGCCCAGGAGATGCTCATCTGGCTTTCACAGCGCCTGCGTGGCTCTCCAGTCCCCCCCACCCAGTGTCTCCCTGATCGTGGGTCACCTTGTCCTTACTCTCTGTTTCTGATCTGGATATTTTATGACTGGACTCATTTCATTTTAAATGTTACTTGACCCGGAAGTTTTAGGCTGAAATTTGTCCCAACAGCCCTACCTCCAGGAGCGTGGCCTCAGTGGGTCTCACAGGCCCACAGCCCTGCTGTGGGGCCCGGGCCTCAGGCTCTCGCTGCCCCACTGAATCCTTTATGTCCTGAAGGAGCCTCCGAGCTCCCCCGGGGCGGCCCAGCGGGTGGCGTGGGGGCCGCCTCTCCTGACAGGCTCGCCGCCCGCTGCCCGGCAGTAACCACCTCTCCTCTTTGTTCTGGGTACAGTTCCTGATCCGCCTCATTCACAAGGAGCTGAGCTGCCCGGGGTCTGCGACCACGGACCAAGTCCTGTAAGTGCGCCCCCCCCCCCGGGTCAGAGGGCAGCTCTCATGAGCCCGCCCACTGTCCCTGCCATTGCGCGGCGCGTTCACGCTCACTTTTCCTAATAAATGCCTCAGTGGGGCTGCGATGGTCGTAATCTCTCCTCAAAATCTGAGAAAAATGTCAGGGAAATTGCCTTCTTTGTTGTCTTTGAGCTGCAGCTTTGTGACAGAAATAGCCCCAGAGCCAGCCTGGCGTCCTGCGTCCTGCTCACACCGCTGCCTTCCGTCCTCTCAGCCCCAGGGCTGCGGGGTGGGTGGGGGGCTGCCCCCTCCACGTGGCTCCGGAGACCCCGGCAGAAGGGTGACAAGCTGGCTGTGCGAGGTTTGCACGTTCGGCCCGCACCCAGCGTCTGGCCTGTGACCGTTGCCGGCCGTGTCACCAGCGGCTCTTTGATCCTCTTCCAGGTTCAAGGAACACTGACCCGGTCGAGTCCCCCGGAGGGAGGCCGGGCCCGTCCCTCACGAACTGTCTGTCAAGGAAACGTTCAAATAAAGGATCCTGTGTTGGAAAGAATGATGTACCCTTGCCTTTTGCACACACACCCGGAAAAGACACAAAAGCCACGCTGAGAAGTCCGGGTCCTATTTTAGGCGAGCCCTGGCGCTCACGACAGCAGCAAGGAGGTGCGGGAAGTCTCCACGATGGAGCCTGGGACACACGGCGGGACAGGCAGGCGCCCCGGCAACTGCTCGGGGCCAGGCGGGTGGCGCTCAGGGGAGCCGGGGTCTCTCAGGTGTTTCAGTCTAGAATGAGAGAGCAGGTGAGAGCCGATACCGCGGCGGGCGCCAGAACGCAGCCGGCGCAGAGCCCAGCCTCTGGGAGGAAACTGACGCCTGGCTCAGAACCAAGACAGAACTCAGAGCCGTCCCATCACCCAGAAGACTTTCCCAGCACCTCGTCCTGCTCCGCACGGGCCTCAGCACCAGCCGGCGGGAAGTGAGCAGCCGAGAAGCTGTCCAGGCCTGCCTGGCAGAGGCCCCGGGACTGCCGGCCGGGACACCTGGACACATCTGGGGTCTGAGCTCCGAGGTGGCCACCGCTGCTGTCCTGCGGGTCTCGGGGAGGACGTGGCGGGGGCGGGTGGGCCCGGTGCCCTGATGTGCTTTACCCCTCCACAGGCCAGACACCCAGAACTATCTCTAGCGATGTAGCACCAGCGTGGGTTTATTTATCAAAAATGTGGTATGTGTTCTAGATGTTTCAGAAACATAAACGGCATTTTGTTATTTATTAAGACACGCTGACTTCTGGCCACTTGTTTTCCCACTTGTTGTCAGCAAAATACTCATCTGCTCTTTGAAATAAAATTTTTTTTAAAAAAAAAAAGCTCAAGCAGAATGTTGATTATGTCTCCTCGCGTTTCCATTATGTTAACAAAAGAGAACTTCGAACACTGCATGTTCTTGGTTTTCCAGGGTCGGACACAGCCTGTAGTTCTGCTGCTGGAAGCTGAGGCCGTTTCCAGCAAAGCAGGGGTCATCCTGCTCAGGGGCGGGTTGAGCCCAGGCCCCAGCAAACAGAGTCGGGGTATTTTGTAAGTCGTGCGATTTAAGGGACATCCTGAGATTTGTCCTCGACGCACGGGAGGAGCAGGGCTGCACCTGAAATTGCACGGAGTGGGGCAGGCTCTCAGAGCTTCTCCCCAGACACAGATAGTGGGTGCCCTCCCCGTCTGTGTGCCCGGGCCACGGCCAGAATCCAGCCCGGTTCCCCATCGTGCCCACGGAGGCTCCTGCTCTGGGCTCTCCGGAGAAGGGCCGGAGATGAGGGCTCTTCTGGTGACCACCGTCCTCACCAGATAGGCTTGCTTTGTGTAATAACAAAAGTGTCTTAGACATTTAAAAGTTCCCAGTAGTAACTGGAATAAAATTCCTGGCCGCACTGAGTGGATTGTACTGTTCCTTACACAAGGTTCCCTCCGCTCACAGGGATCTCTTTCCCTCTGGTTCCTTCCATCTTGTGTTTGCTCTTCGCTTCGAGCCCACCGGCCTCTGGCCGCTTCTCTTTGCCTTCCCTCCCTGTCCTGGGCTTAAGCACCCGGCCCCGTGTAGCCCCAGGGCAGCTGCTCGCTGTGCCCCCTGCAGCCTCCTGCACACCCCATGTACCCAGTTTCAGCATCGACTCAACACGGAGAGGGTAGAGGCAAACACAAACGTGTGTTCCCTGATGCACAGAGAATCCTTCCTAATGACGAGCTGGAGCCCACTGCTCCCTGCCCCCCCCCAGAAGGTTCTCCCTGAGGCCTGAACTCGGTCTATTCCCCAGGCAAGGCCTTCAGTCGACCCGCTTCACTTCTGCCGCCGCCCCAAAGCACAGCCCTCCATCAGGTGTGGTTCAGCCACAGGAAGCTGTGGGGTGATTATTCTTCCTGACTCTGGGGGCTGAAGCAGTAGACAGTCTTCCACAACCCACAGAGGAAAGGTTACTCTGCACCCCTGAGCCTGCTAGGAGAACCCCAGTCATGCCTGTTGAGGTGCAGAGTCGACATCTGAATGCATGGAGGAGTCCACGCAGCTATTGTGTAAAGCAGTTTGGCTGAAACATGTCAGATCCATGGATGGAAGATCTCATCATCACTTTTAAAGGAAAAGGTATCTGATTTCAATAGAAGAATTGATCTTCATTTCACCCTGAGCAATAAGCTGAGATGATCTCCTGCTAATAGCTGGTTGTGATGCATGCAGGCTTGAATTCTCATGGAAATGTGACTCTGCCCTCCATGAGTTTTCCTATTCAAATCTGAAAAAAGATTTTCCTATTCAAATCTGGAAAAAAACCAAAAGAATCCCCAGGACAGCTGAAATGCGAGCTTGTGACAGGGGCAGTGAAGGGGCGGAGCTCAGGAGCAGAGACCTTTCCGAGGTAACGTGCGTGGAAGCTCACCCTCCGAGTCAGAAATCAGAACCATCACTCCAACTGCCTAATGAGACCCAATCAAAACAAATTACTAGAAAAAATGAACTGGAAAAACCCAAGTCCTAATGCCAGACATTGTGCCAATTGCTGTAGGGGTTTGTACATGCTTGCTCCGGTCTCTGTGTACCGGAACGTTCACGGTTGGTGGGCGGGCCTGAGCAGGGAGAGCCCAGCCAACAGGGTAGCCCTGCCGGGTGCCGACCGGGGTGCTGGGGTCCAGCGTGCTGCGGGGGCAGTGTGCAGGGCTGCTGTGAATTGCTCACAGAGTGTCACACGGAGGGTCCCCAAGAAACTGCAGCAGCCCGACTCTCAGGGCGCCCCTGGGCCTGCCAGGCTGGGGACTGTGGGCAGCGGAGCTGGCAGACTGGTCTCTCCAACCAGGGCCCAAGGCCGAATGAAAACCTGGGCCCTTTGTTCAAAACGCAGGAAAAGGTGTTGTTCAAGGTACCGAAATAGAAAATGTCCTTTCTTCTGCTCTAGGAGGTGGTGGGAGGCGGTAGGAGTCGGGATCATGGGGAGGGGTGGGGAGCGGCTGGGCTCCAGCCCCCCAGCACCTGCCGCCGTCCCACCCGACTTCAGTTAGAAACCGCAACACCTCAGAGCAGGAGACGAACCAGGAGAGACGATGGACTCTGAGAAACCAGCTGAGGGTTCTAGAGGGGAGGGAGGTGGGGGGATGGGTCAGCCTGGTGATGGGTATTAAAGAGGGCACGTGCTGCATGGAGCACTAGGTGTTATATGCAAACAATGAATCGTGGAACACTACATCAAAAAATTAATTAATTAATTAAAACTAAAAAAAAAAATTTTTAAAAACCCCACAACGCAGAGATCACATTATTCAGGCCATCAGCACCGCAATTGCAGAGTATTAAACCCCAAGCATGGGCCTTCCGAGCGCAGGGCCCGTGTGGCTGCAGGGTCCCACTGACGCTCCACCCAGACCTAGAACGGAGACTGATGGGGGGTGGGTCCTAGCCTTGTCTCTGACCGCCTGGGCCGGTGTCCCCGGGCGGCGGTGGCGTCAGGAAGGCGGGGTATGCCCACTTGGTCTCCCCTTCCCCGGGCCGGTGTCCCCGGGTGGCGGTGGCGTCAGGAAGGCGGGGTGTGCCCGCTTGGTCTCCCCTTCCCCGGGCCGGTGTCCCCGGGCGGCGGTGGCGTCAGGAAGGCGGGCTGTGCTCGCTTGGTCTCCCCTTCCCCGGGCCGGTGTCCCCGGGCGGCGGTGGCGTCAGGAAGGCGGGGTGTGCCCGCTTGGTCTCCCCTTCCCCGGGCCGGTGTCCCCGGGCGGCGGTGGCGTCAGGAAGGCGGGGTGTGCCCACTTGGTCTCCCCTTCCCCGGGCGGTCCCACCTTGATACTCTGCAGCCAGTTCAGGTTCTGTGCCATCGCGTGAGCTTCCTTTTCCAGAACGTTCCAAATGCTCCTCCCACTGAAGATTAGTCTCCAGGCTCTGAGCTCGTCCTTCGAAGCCCGGCTGTCAGGCTCCAGCCAGTCAGGCCCCCTCCGTGACCCCTTCACCAGCCGGTGCGGGGGCGTTGCCCTTGAAGGCTCGTACTCTGCGTGTGTTCGGGGCTGCTGGCCCTGTCCCCGTCCCCAGGCCTGTCCCTTCACAGCCGCTGTACAGAGCTGCTAGCTAACGCAGAGACACTACCCAGTCCTTGCGAGAGCAGAGGTCTGAGACCAGCGGAAACCTTCCCCGGGGGCACATTCCCGACGAGAGAGCCGGGCTCCTCAGGCCCCAGGCGACACGGGGGAGCTGACACGCATGTCACATGTGAATCCCGACTGAACGAAACGGGTGAGTCCCAGTCTCGGCCCCAACCGACACAGCCCCACGCCAGGGCAGAAGCATCCTCTTCAAACTCGCAACTTGGGACTGCATGAGGCCCTGTTGCAGAGTCCTGTCCCTGCTGAGCCAGCTGCAGGCCCCGCCGCGGGCAGAGGGCCCGTGTCCTGCAGCTGAGGGGCAGGCAGGGGCGAGGGCGGCCGGCACAGTCATTCCGGCCGGGGGGGGGGGGGACTGGGCGGCACCTTGACTTAATGCCCCAGGTGGCCCTGCCCCTGTTTGAGGTTCTAACCTGAGGCCTGAGTCAGGTACTCTGTGACCAGTACCCTAAAGGCATTTTGGGTAAAGGGGCCTCAAGTAGAGGCACAGAGACATTAAATGTGCTCACGGCCTGAAGAGGCCCAGGGTCTCGGGCTGCGGTGCCCACGCCGCTTGCTGATTATCTTCGAGTCCATCAGGAGGAGTGGCGTGTGCACCTGCCCCGAGCGCTTCATTTTTATATTTTCAGATTGAGGTGAGATTCACGTAACATCATATGGTGTGTCCTTTGGCGGCTTTCGGTGGGTGCCCAATGCTGTGCAACCACACCTCTGTAGTCTCAAAGCTTGTCATCACCCTGGACCCCCCCCCAGCAGTCACCCCCAGCCCCTCCTCCCCCAAGCCCTTCACAGTTAAAATGAGGGTTTTCAAATAGATTGGCTCCAGGGCACCTTATAGCACAAAAATTCTAGAGTTAAATGTGCAAACTAGCACTTCCTCCTCTATTTACGTGCTAATTCATTCACTTGTTAAACAAACATTATGAAGAAATCCATGAAAGCATGCTGTCACATCATATTATCCCGGCTCCTCTGAGAAGCCTCTCAGGACTGTGGTCCCGGCTCTGTTGACCCCGGAAGACCTCCCCGAGCTGTCACTGTCCCTGGAGCCACTG